CGACAACGACAACACCCGGGCGCCGACAAAGAGTCCCCGGAAGGCGGCGGCGGCCGCTGCCCGTCTTAATCGACTCAAGAAGAAGGAGTACGTGATGGGGCTGGAGAGTCGAGTCCGGGGTCTGGCAGCTGAGAACCAGGAGCTGCGGGCCGAGAATCGGGAGCTGGGCAAACGCGTACAAGCACTGCAGGAGGAGAGTCGCTACCTACGGGCTGTCTTGGCCAACGAGACTGGACTGGCTCGCTTGCTGAGCCGGCTGAGCGGCGTGGGACTGCGGCTGACCACCTCTCTCTTCAGAGACTCGCCCGCCGGTGACCATGACTACGCCCTGCCTGTGGGAAAGCAGCAGCAGGACCTGCTGGAAGAGGACGACTCAGCGGGAGGAGTGTGTCTTCATGTGGACAAGGATAAGGTGTCGGTGGAGTTCTGCTCGGCGTGCGCTCGGAAGGCGTCGTCTTCTCTGAAAATGTAGGGTCAAGTAATCTGCTCTTTACCCGCGTTTACCCCTTTCAACTCCCTTACACCATGTAAAACACCTTAGTGGGACATCTTCACTGGACACATTTCAGAGGAGGAAAAAAGTAATATTGAATCTTTAAGTGTTTAGCTAAAAGCATGAATGTGACACTGTAACCAACTCCTAATGATAACATGTGACTATTAAATCTCTCTGACAGTTTCTTTTTTAGGTGATTTCCTTCCTGCCAGGCTCCGTTGTAGGGGTTACAGAACAGTCGTTCCCGCCTCACAACCTGGTAAGGATCCATCTCTTCACGTAACGCTCATGCTCTGCTGCTTAGTCTACTTTAATGGGCAACATCTCAATTTGTGTGTGTATGTGTGTGTTTTTATTTTTTCTTTTTTGGAAAGTGGGAGGGGAATCTACTTTGGGCCCTGTCCACCCTGGAAACAGACTTTTGCTGGTCAATAATGTATTTAAAGATGCTGCTTCTGGTTGAAATAGCTGTTAATGTGTCCCCTTGTTCAGACTTGCGTGTACCTAGCTCTTCTGTCCCCAGTGTGGACATGGCCTTGGATGACATCGGTTCCAACTGTACACTGAAACCTGCTTATAGAAATACAGTTTGGAGACAGTGAAACAGGTGAAGTTGAATGGAAGTTCCGAGTTGTACAAGATGCAAATTGGAATTCCAGTTTTAGAGCAACTTTTCAAAGGTTGACAAAAACAAGTGTTGGGGTTGTGCACATATGGGGTGCACATTTGCTGGAGATGACAGCAATCTCTTAAATATTTAAGAATGCCTTTTAGTTTTAAGTAGAAGGTACACAAATACAGTCTATTTGGAGCAACAGATTTTATTATCTCACTGTTAGAGAAATTGGAAATTAACATACTATCAGGCTCCTGTGTTTTAGCTAATTGGAGGAAGACTAAGCATGGATAATGAATGTTCTTTAAGGACCAGCACAGTGATTATCCTATCACTGGTATGAATAAATTGTCAAAAACCTTTATTTTTGTTGTATTAAAATTTTAGGTTAAATTTATGTATGTATGATTAGATATTGAAGGTTGTGAAATGTGAATGAAAACATGTAAAGTGAGGTTTCACAAAGAATCTTATTTTCTGTTTTTGAAAAGTATTTGTCTTGTTAAAAAACAGTTTTTAAAATTGAGTGTTTCTGGTCACTTAGATGACACAATTGCAACTATTTTTTCCAAAGATGGGACATATTATTCCCTAGAAGTACTCTAATTATTTCCTAGTTGCATAAGTTGAATTATGGTGTCATTCAGTGCAAAAGGCATTAAGAAATTCTTTGTGAAACATCACTGTTTGATAAAGTATATACGTATTTAGAATCCTTGTTTTTCTTTGTGCTAAAGTGGATACAGCTGTTGGGGCAGAAGAGACGGGACCAGCTGCTGGCCACATTTCCTGCTTTATTTTAAAAGGTAGTATAAGAAATGAGGAAAAAGAGGTAATATCAGGGCTTCTGCTGTCTTATTTTTAAGATGTTCATAATTAAAAAGTATTTTCCAGCAGTCCAAAGATGTAAGTTATCTTACACATAAATGTTTTATTTTATTGTTATTTGGTTATGAAAATGGAATCCTTGTTCTTGCACAACTGTAAATGTTTTTGTTGCTAGATAACATGATTTGAGACCTAATTGGTCTCTGGTTTCCAGTGCATCACAGCATATTTTGTAAAATCTACTGCACTTGAGCATGAATGGTAATAGCCAAACTTAAAACCTGGAGTGATGAACCTGCTAATAACTAAGGGCAGGAGCAAGCCCCTCACAATGCAGCTGCATGGATTTTTAGTGCCTACTGAATTACACACACACACACACACACACATAAATAAATATATATATATATATATATATAAATGAAAACCAAAAGTAATTGGAAAAATTATTTGAAATGACTAATTTGTGCTATCTTTATGAAATATGTTAAATGTAGCTTTTGAAACAGAAGCCTTGAATTGAGATTTAACTAATACTTGAACATTTTGTACATATTTCTTTGTATATAATTTTGTGCAGTACCAATGACAAAATACAGTGTCATAATAAAATCAGGTTTGTTGATCTTTCAGTTATGGGCTCAAAGAATTTATTCATTTCTAACATTATATTGGAAAATAATTGATAAAAATAGGAAAAATGATTGTTATTAATTCTGACTGTGGGTCTTAAAAGGTTCTGGAAGCAGTAAGTTTGTTTTTCTAAAAATTTTATCATTGTCTTGGAATAATTTTTTTACAATCAGTGCTTTTTCTGCATTATTTGAAGTTTGGGGCTGGGGAGAAACAGTCAACTTTCTGAATTGGGATGCTTTAAAATTCGAAGTGTAGATTTTTAGAATGTCATTTTATAAATGGCAGATTTTGGAATTACGTGACTAAGAACTTTTGAAAATGGAAAGATTAGCATGGCCTATTTTTAAAGCTGCTTTGTTAGGTTGTTTTTTTTTTAATGTCTTTTCTTAGTTTCCATTTCATTGTTTCTTTTTTCTAGTTTTGGTGACAGTAATTTTATCATTTTTTACATCAAGTTCATGGTCTTGTTTTTACATGGTAATTGCATGTATGTAGGACCTATCTAACAGGGGCTTTAAATAAATTTGGTCATATTTATGTGTAAGCACATTTTTACTGTAAATGTGTGGGTTTCTGAATTTACAACAGATCTGTTTCAGTATGTAGTAAACAGTATCTTAAAAAGTGTCCTATTCACTACTTGTTGATTAAAAAAGTTATGATTAATATGAAACTGTTGTCTTACTATTTTTAGAAAATTGTGTTCTGAATGATTAGTATTTGGATAAAGGGCATTTCTGGACTATAAAGTGGATTGTTTTTGACATTTTCAGGTTTGGCGCTGATTACTGTAATCATTGAAACAACTTAGTATTTGGAGGACAGTTATTTTCCCCTGATTGCGCCTCTATGGCAAAATGATACAGAACTAAAGATGTAGCTGTTTGTCATCTAATAACAGGAATTCATACATTAATGGAACTAACACATCATATTGACCTATTTCTATCATATTGACTTACTGTTTCTGCACTTCCTTGACGAGACTTAACTAAAAGTCCACATTTGTTAAAATGTAGTCACACTTCTGATATAATCCAACAAAAAGTATTCGAAATATTTTAAGTATTTGTGCATTTTATAATCACTAAATTAATCTCTCTCTCTTCTCTTTAAACAGCTTAGCAGTGTCTGCAAAAACGAATCTTTTCCTACAACCTGTTAACTGACTGGACTGATGATAACAAAGTAATTGTGGGAGCCATGTCGGTCAAAAATTTGGCATCTGCTGAAAAAAAAAGAATGCCATTTTCAAGTTCCCAAATTACTTCTATTCTGATTTCACTTTCCAGAAATGGAGATATGAAAAGATTCTCTGGAATCCTTGAAAGACTTAATAGAAATACATGAGACTAAGTAAATTTTGGAACAAAATTACACTTTTTTTTTGTCTTTCATGGGAGTGATACTCAGTTCTTTGCATACCTTTTAAAAATTGTAACAGTTGGAGAAGAGAATTATAGTATTTCATCAAGAAATATTAGATTCTTTACATAATCAAGAGTACATTCTATGGAGTTACATTTAGTGGACTAGAATTACATAAACAGGCCATCAGTGACCAAAGGCATATTATTTGTTTGTATGTATTTTCTGGAACATGAGAGCTAATTTGGATTACAGACAGACACCTGACCGAGTAAAATATAAAAGTTAATGTAAAGTCCTTCACCATAAATAGTAGTCTTAAATAGATGCACTGATTTGTCTGTATATCTTTGAAAAAGTTGATTATTAATAAATGTGTGAGTAGTTAATTGCAATTTAAGGTAATAACCAGGGTATGTGGATTCTGAGGTTTTGGCTTCTTGGGTGTTTTCTGAATACTGGACACTTTTTCAACTATTTTGAGGTGTTTAATGAATGGTATAGTAGTTTCTACTGTTTTATATTAAAATTCATCTAGTATTATGTAAGGGATTTAGTATTCTGGGTGATGGGAATCGCTTTTTTGATTAGTATATGGTTGTTTTATTTAATGAAATATTTTTTCTGGTTTATTACAAAAGTGAAAACACTCAAAACTCTGGATTGTTTCATTTTTATTGCATTATGTTAATACATTCTTAACCTTGGTATAGGCTAAATCACTTTATTGTACTGACTCATTTAGGAAGTACACAGATAATAGAAGAGGGAGGGAGTAAGAGATAGCACAATTATACAGTTGGTTATTTTATAATATTATTCAAATTGACTAAACCCGCTCAGTTTTGTTATCATCTCAAATGTATTCAGTGCCTGTGAAACCAGGCAACTAAGAACGTTCTCACTGGCTTGTACTTAAGTGGCTAATTCTCTTACAGTATAGCTGGTTATAATTCTACAACCAAAGGTTTAGGCACCACAGTATAGCTGGTTATAATTCTATAACCAAAGGTTTAGGTACCAACACCGTTTGGTGGTCATAACTACTACTTTGATATAACAGAGTGGATAATTCACTGATAATGAATAAAATAAGCTTTTTTTAATGCTTCAGTATTTTGAAGGTATAGTGTAAGGTTACTAAACACATTTTTAAGCTAAATCTGATGACTCTTGAGAATTGAATAGTTACTAAGATATTTACAAGTGTTTATTTTTTTCTCGGACTAAAAACCAATACAAAGCTTTGAGATCTTACTGCATGTTTATATTTTACTGTAAATTGTAACAACTGGAGAAGAAAATTGTAGTATTTTCATTTTATGAGCCATTTTTTTTTCTCATTTAGTTAGTTACTATCTAAGCCAGGGATCAAAAAGGGGTTTTTCATTAGAAACATGTGAATTGTTGTGTTTGATCAGCACAGTGTTTTCCATATTCTTGAATTTGAATACCTTAATGTGTAGCCTCAGTACTTTAGCCAGTCACTTCCTATTGTGTTATCATACCTGGTAATTTTTGTTGACCCCAGTCACTTGATACAAAATATTTTTGCTCAGTTTTCACAGTGAGCTAAAAATCTACTCGTTTTGAACATCTCAGTGATTCTGTTAATACATTTTTTTTTTTTTTGGAGAGGTTTATTGCTATAGGGCGTGTGCACTCGCCAGACAGACAGAGAGATAGAAAGCAAGAAATCACCCCCCAGGGGGGATGGCCACACTGCAATCCCTTCTTCTCCATTCTTCTCTCCGATCTTGGGCGCGCACGCACCCAGCGTGAGTTTAAGCCACTGGGTCCGGTACGCGAACCGCAGTCGATCATGGAGTCCAGCGACATAGCCATTATGCTAACTGCTGGTTCCTGTGTTAATACATTATTTGAATATTATTGGTACTACAATTTCCTTTAGAATGTGCCTCCAAATTCTGTATCTTTACTTAATACTCACTGAGTTCAGTTTCATATACCCCTCTAGTTCTTAGTGTACTCTGGTTTGATGTTTACAAAATATATTAGTATCTTAAATTACTTAAGATAAAAAGCCAAATAACTATACAAAGTGAATTGTAAAAGACAGATTTAGATAGTTTGTTTACCATGACTGGACTAAAGTATTAAAAACTTTTCCTGATCAGGGCACTATTCTTTCAGTATTGGTTACACATGACTGAATTCCTTTAAATTGTATTGCAGATCATGGCAGGTTTACATTTTATATATTTGCCGTGATCAAAAATTTTAATAAAGTAGATTTGTGGCAAAAGACTTAACGTGCTTTATTGCTTTTGTTGCCCATTTCTACTCATTGAAAATATGACTTAAATACGTGTCAGGTAACAGATGTGAAGAAAAAAATCATTCTTGGTTACAGAAACCATTGTAAATTCTTTTTGTTTTTAAATAATTATTTTAAGTTTATTCATTTTTAAAATTTGACCAGAGAGGGACAGAATGAGTGAGTGAGTGAGAAAATGGGAAAGCAAGCAAGCAAGCCGCCAGGTCTGGTATTCGAACCACCGTTGGTCATGTGGGATTCCAACATTCTTAACCACAATTCCACCTGCTGGCCCCATTGTAAATTCTTAAACCCACTTAGGAGTGGTATTATGTTGGGAATAAATACTCTGGGGATGTTTAAGAATAAGTTAGGAAACAATTTGTACTAAGTTTTCAAACAACTTCATCATATCAGTAGGTTCTGAATGATCTAAATTGATGATACTATTCGGTATTGGGTTTCTTATTTTTTTAAAAAGAAGTTTTTGTCTAAGGGCACATGGACTTCCCCAGAAAGAGAAAGAGACGGAGACAGTGAGAGGGAAAGTGGGAAATCACCCTAAAGGGTGATGATGTCATAATCTCTTGTCCATTCTTCTTCCAGGATCTTGGGCACACACGCATGCATGAATGACTGGCGTGATTTTTCAAGCTTCCGGGTCTAGGATTCAAACCACAGTTAGCCATGTGGGAGTCCAGCAACTTAACTACTGTGCCTTCTGCTGGCCCTGGATATCTTATTGTTGAATTTAGGAATTCATTTTTAATTAATTGTTTTTTCCCCCACTATGATGAGTAGGTATCTGCTTTAAATAAAAGTGACAGAATGCAATCAAAATGGGCAATTTTGGGTTAGAGAGCTTTTAATCTTGATTATTTTAGCTTCTAAAATAGGCAGTTATTGTGCCATAAGCATATATTACATATGTATGTAATATGTGTAATATATGTATGTAATATATGTATTTAACTGTAAGTAAAGCATATTCATTATGGAAAACTTCAAAAATCCAGAAAGGATAATTAAAAAAAAAAAACATACTTCTGTAACCAAGACTATGCAGTATACATATATGTGTGTGTGTGTGTGTGTGTGTGTGTGTGTATATATATATATGTATTTTTGAATCTGTTCCATGCATATAGATTCTTGCCTCATAATTGGGATCTCTTGTATGTTTGATAAAGAACACATTTTTACGTATCTGTTGAAAGAGCAAATTATCTTTGCTTTATGAAAACTTGAAAATGTATTTTGTTAATTTTACTTCAATTTTACATCTGTGGCAGCACTTCTTTTTCTTTATATAGAAAATGTGTTTCAGTAGCAAAGCTGCCTTTTAAAATTCATTAATATAATTTTAGCAGCTTAAGATTACTTAGTACTATAATTGGAAGGAATAGTTACCATGCTCATGGGTATGACCTAGGATGGCACTTAAGATTCCGTTTGGTATTTCTCTGGAATGACTCTCTTATTTTGTACCAAAGTATTGATCTAGACCTGTGCTGTCCAATACTGTATCCATTAGCCACACATGGCTAAAAATTTAATGATTAAATTAAAATTTTATTTGGTTGAACTAACCACATTTCAGGTGCTCAACAGCCACATATGACTAAAATATGGACAGTGCAGACGTAAAACATTCTCATCAACATACAGAGTTAGACAGTGCTCATTCGGGTGCTGTTAAAAATTGTTTAAAGAATCTCACTGAGAAATTTGGGAATACAGTCATTTCAGAACTTTAAATGATGTGGGCTGGCTGAATGGCTTGGTGATTGAGGCAGCTAGATCCCACATGGCCAATCACACAGTTCGAGTCCTGAACCCTGCAGCTAACAAGTGTGTGTGCATGCAGGCTAAAAATCCCATAAGGAAAGATGAAAATGTTGTGTATGGGGTGGTGGAGTAGGGGGGCTTTCTCCTCTACTTTCTTCTCTCTGTTGAGTATATCTGTCCTTTAGTGAAAAAAGAAAAAAAAAAAAACTTTAAATGAGCTATTTTAGGAATTGACTAGAGTAACTCAGAAAGCAAAAACCAAGAACAACAACAAAAAAATTGGCTACTAGTTGAATACTGGTTATATCAGCTGTTATATTAGGTGCTTACATATATTATTTCATGTAATGCCAACTTTGAGGTTACTGATGAGGGAACCGAGGTTGTCAAAGAGGTTAGTTAACCTGCTTATTTGGTGTCACACAGCTAAAAATAAGCTCAAGTTTGTGATTCTAAAGAACTATCCCACAGTAAGTAGAAGCTTCAAAGACAGTCTTTACCTAATCTTCAAAAAAACCCTACCTTTCCAGGGATAAAAATAGGGTGACTCTTGGAAGTAGGTAGCTCTGTAGCATACTAGATCAAGCTTAGCCTGAATTAAGATTGGGACTGATCCATTTATGAGGAATGTTCTAAAATTTGATGGGTTAATAACATCTATGGAAATATTTTAAGTTGAGAAAATGAAATATAAATAACATTTGCTGTAGTATAATATTTTTCTTCCATTTTCATTCCAATTTTAGCTTTACGAAGTCTTAGGTAGATACTGCTTTTTGGTTATTTTTTCCCCTCTTGTGTTACAGACCAAACTCAATGCCTAATATAAAGGAGTAGTGTGAGCAAGGTGGAAGAGACAATGTAGGGCAATTTAGAGAAGTTATGCTCTTGTTTTAAGTGTGTAGCCTTTACTGAGGTTCAGCATTTTGTTGTAGATCCTAGAATTGGACCTAACATGAGAAATTAGAAGTGTATGTACTCAAAATAGACATAAGTTATTTTTACCAGTTTATTTGTATACATATTTGCTTAAAATCATTGAATTTCTAGGCCAGGTTCAGGTAACTGAAGGGCTTTTATAAGTAGTTTATATTGTCTAGACCCTAAGTATGATGCAAATGCAGTCTGGAGCAAAATGGGAAATAACATCTTTCTAAAGATTGGCTTAGAAATTCTTATCCAGTAAGTTATGATGTTTCCTTTCTGTGGTAGCAAGGCTGATTCATACCTGTAAGAAAACATTGAGATATTTCACTAGAAAGCATGCTATATCAAGTGGCAAACCTATGTACAATATATTACTAATCCTAGAAATCTTAATATAAAACTAGAGGGAGGTTAAAGTAATGCTAATCTCTTCATTGTCTGTTAGTACTATAAACTTTCCTCTGTCTTTACGTCTTTCTCCTGTTCACCTTTGGAGGATCATATAGTATTGACTGCTGATGCAAGAGTTTGACAGAGAATGACCAGAATTATGGTGTAGTAGCAGGCTCATAGCTAGATATTTTCTGATGGAATTTTCATTTAGCACAAGTACTTAAATTCATCCAAGAAAAATTATGCATATAATAGAGCTTTGCTAGGTATAGTATTGTTTGCAGCTTTGTAGCAAGCCTTCAGCATAAAAATTAAAGTTAGTAACCTGAACTATATGCCAAGAGGTACAATGTGATACAGTTCTACTGTTTTCAAATTCTTGATAAGTAAAATTTGATTTATTATTAACATATTCTAATCAAAAAGGTTAATATTACCTTTGTTATATACACCTTAAAAATATAAAATATTTATTAGGATGATAAAGAAGCCTACCTTTCTGCTAGGCCACCATTCACAGGCAAAGCCAAGAAAACAGGGTAGAGACCACCAAAAACAAGACCAACCAATCCACTCCGTATTATGGTACAGGTTTCACAATTCAAGTCACCTAGGAATAAATTAGTTCTGGGAATGAAGGTCATGATAGTAAAACATAATTTCAAGACTGCAAGTTCCCCTTAAATCTATTCCAAATATTTAATGTTCGGGTAATAATACAATATAAATGGAACAATCTAAGGCATGTGTAAGTATAGTTACATTGGGACCAGCAGCTGGTGTAATGGCTTTGTCGCTGGACTCCCATGTAGTCGACTGCAGTTTGAGTCCCGGACCCGGTGGCTTAAACTCATGCCGGGAGCGTGTGCATATGTGTCCAAGATCCCAAGAGGAGAATGGAAAAGGGATTGCAATGTGGCCACCCCTCCCACCCCCTCCCGGGGGTGATTTCTCGCTTTCTATCTCTCTCTGTCTGTCTCTGTCTCTCTGGTGAGCGCACGTGCTCTATAGCAAAAACCTCTCAAAAAAAAAGTACACTTGCATGTATCAGTCAACTACAATAGTAACTAATAAGCCATTTTAGGAAAAAATTATCTTATTCTGAACTTGAATGTAATAATCTCAGGGTTTGAGCTGCTTGCTAGCTTTCTGCCCTGTATCAGTACACCTGAACTATATTTTCATTTGTAAGTTCATTGGGCAACATTGATTATAACAGTTCTTTCCACAGTAGTTACAGGAATTCAAACACAATACCTCATCCAATTTAAACATATTCAGAGCAGCATTTGACAGTAAAGAGAACTTTGATGACCTGCCTTCTTTACCTCCTGGTAATAATATTTTCGTTAGAAATAATTAAAAGATTTGCTGTGATTAGCTATATTCAAACCACTTAGCATAGATGGCATATTTTCAAAAGAATGATCTCCATTTATTTGATAACTCTTGCATATGCACTGAATGCTTTTAGAGATCTACATAGCGTCTTATTCCTATAAAAATACTTTGTCCTTGGGAACCAGCAGTTAGCGTAATGGCTATGTCGCTGGACTCCCACGTAGGTGACCGCGGTTCGCGTCCTGGACCCGGTGGCTTAAAACTCACGCCGGGCGCGTGTGCATGTGTGCCCAAGATCCCGAGAGGAGAAGGGATTGCGGTGTGACTATCCCCCCTTGTGGGTGATTTCTCGCTTTCTGTCTCTCTCTCTCTGTCTGTCTGGCGAGCGCAAGCACCCTATGGCAAAAACCTCTCCAAAAAAAAAAAAAAAACTTTGTCCTTTAAGGAGTTTCTTTATAAACTAAAAGAAAAACATTCTACGGCAACCAACACTAAAAAAGGATGAGGCGAATGGGGCCAGAGGCAGAGTGGTTAACGTGTTGGATTCCCACACAGTCAGTTGTGTTTTGAGTTCCAGATCTCATAGCTTGCTTTCACTTGCTTGCTCTCTCTCGTCAAATTGAAGAAGAATAAATAAAATTAGGGACCAGCAGTTATTGCAATGGCTATGTCACTGAATTTCCATGTAGTCGACCATGGTTCGGGTCCCGGACTTGGTGGCTTAAACTCACACTGAGCACGTGTGCGTGCGTGCCCAAGATTCCGAGAGGAGAATAGAGGAGAAGAGATTGCGGTGTGGCCATCCCCCTAGGGGGGTGATTTCTCGCTTTCTGTCTCTCTGGTGAGTGCATGTGCCCTGTAGCAAAAAATAATTTTTTTTAAAGAGAGATTTTGCTATAGGGCATATGTGCTTGCTGGAGAGACACAGAGAGAGAGAAAGCAAGAAATCATCCCCTGGGGGAATGGCCACGCTGCAATCCTTCTCTACTCTCCTCTTGGGATTTTGGGCATGCACACACACATGCCCAGCATAATTTCAAGGTGCTGGGTCCAGGACTCAAACTGCCATTGACTTTGTGGGAGTCCAGTGATATAACCATTATGCCATCTGCTGGTCCCTTAAATTCTTTTAAGGAAAAAAAAATGATGGGGGTGCAGGCACCTTCATAGCCTAGCAGTTAACAGCCCGTGTAGCTGACCTTGGTCCAAATCTTGGCCCCAGTGACTTACAAAACACACTGGGCATTTGTACGTGTATGCCCCAAATCTCATAGGATGGAGAAATGGAGAAGGGATTGTGGCATTCTGAGCCCAAGTAGGGAGTGCTTTCTTCCCCTCTCTCTGGCAAGTTCACCTATCTTCTGGCAATTAAAAAAAAGGATTCTAAATGTTTCTGATTCTTTTTTGGGGGAGAGGTTTTTGCTATAGGGTGCGTGCGCTCACCAGAAAGATAGAGCGAGACAGACACAAAGCGAGAAATCACACCCCCCTCTCCCCGGGGGATGGCCACGCCACAATCCCTTCTCCTCCATTCTCCTCTCAGGATCTTGGACACACACGCTCCTGGCGTGAGTTTAAGCTGCCGGGTCCGGGACTCAAACTGCAGTTGACTACATGGGAGTCCAGTGACATAGCCATTACGCTAACTGTTGGTCCCCTAAATGTTTCTGATTCTAAATGAGCACTGGGAATGATAGGTTAGAACTGCTGTGTATTTGCATCTTGGTTGGTAAACCATACTAATTTGAATTAATTGGCACATTACATAGGCTAGCAGGATTCAGTCTTAACCACTCACTGTATTACAATGTATAGCTACCCGGTACTAATATTTAAGTATTAACTAAAGTGGTCAGCAAAAAAAAACAAGGTAAGTTGTCTGGTGAAATAGACTTACCTGTATTCAAAGGAAAATTTACAAAACTTTTGTAAGCTACATGTGCTGTAAAAAATGGGATTACTGCCATTGGTAAACCAGCAGCTATAGGAGCTTTTGTCACATTCAAGACGCGTCGGAAAAGACTGTTGGATATTAGGCCACAGAAAGCTGCATTAAGTCCAACATATGTCGATCCATGTTCCAGCAGATTCCTGAGAAGGTGAGAAAGAAATACCTTATTTTTGCTTCTTGTGTGTTTGAGCACTCCCAAGTCTAGCATATGTTAAAGAACTTATCAGGACTTTGGGATTAACTAGATCTATTAATAATATCCCTTTCCTTTTTTTTTTTTTTTTCCAAAAGAGGTTTTTGCCATAGGGTTCATGCACCAGAGAGGGAAAGTGAGAAATCACCCCTCCTGGGGCATGTCCATACCGCAGTTCCTTCTTTATTCTCCTCTTTGGGCATGCACTTTTGTGCACCTGATGTGAATTTCAAGCCACAAGGTCTGGGACTTGAACCTCAGTTAGCCATGTGGGAGTCCAGCAATGTAAAAACTATGCCATCTGCTGGCCCCAATAGTATCTATTTCTTATAGCTCTGTAATAACAGCCTTAAATCATTGTTTTACATATAAATTTTTCTTTTGAAAGGCTTTTTAAAGGACTAGCAGATGGCATAATAGTTACGTCGCTGGACTCCTGTGTAGTTGACTGCAGTTCAAGTCCAGGACCCAGTGGCTTAAAACTCATGCCAGCCACGTGTGTGTGCATGCCCAAAATCCCGAGAAAAAGAAGGGATTGTGGCGTGGCCATTCCCCTTAGGGGGGGTGGTTTCTTGCTTCTTTCTGTCTGTCTCTCACTCTCTCTCTGGCAAGCACAAAAAAGTCACCATAAAAAAAAAGTTAAAAAAAAAAAAAAAAAAAAAAAAAAAAAGTCTTTCTAAAAATATATTTAATTTTATTTATTACTACTTTTCAACTTGACCAGAGAAAGAGAGAGTGAGAAAGCAAATTGTCAGGTCCAGGACTTGAACCACGGTTGGCTATGTGACTGTGTGTGTGTTCCATGATACTTTTTCAGACTGGTAGGTATATTAATAGAAATGAACTGGAAAGAAGACCATTTATTCACACACCCAGCTTAATTCTTTATGTTCTCTTTCTTAATTTGGTGAATGACAAAGCTGCTGTTTTTCAAAACTGCTACTATCAACTCTATTCCCTGGGTCAATCTTTTAGCTCTCCCTTCCTTGCTGGCTTGGAAACAATGAACACAGGGCATCCTCCACCCCCTTTTTAATACCTTTTTTTGTTTTTAAAGTTTTTCTGTTATTAACCTCAGGAAACCAAGTGTTGGTTGTTGATTTGTTGGTTCTCCCTTGCTGAGATGATAAGTGCAGCAAGACTGGAATTTGCATTTTCATTCCTGAATATAGTAAGCTTGTACCTCTAAAATATATTTCAAATTCATCCTTTTTTCAACTCCCATCACACCTACCATTCCTAGCTGCCAGGATTACTTTGTCAGTTTGTCTAGTCATCTTTTTTCTTTTCTCTCCTATCTTAAATCTGTTTTCCAAAATGTGGAAGAATGTTCTTTAGAAATATTTGGGGGACCAGCAGTTGGTGTAATGCCTATGTCGCTGGACTCCCATGTAGCCAACCACGGTTTGGGGCCCGGACCCAGTGGCTTAAACTCACGCTGGGTGCGTGTGTGTGTGTGTGTGCCCAAGAGCCTGAGAGGAGAATGGAGAAGGGATTGCGGTGTGGTCATCCCTTCTGGGGGGTGATTTGCCGTGCTCTGTCTCTCTCTGTCTCTCTGGCAAGCGCATGTGCCTTATAGCAAAAACCTCTCCAAAAAAAATAAATAAATAAATACTATTTGGATCACATCATTCCCCTGCTTTAAACTTTCTGTTCCATATGCCTACTTGACTTGTACTTCAGTAATAAAACTGATTCCTCAAATATAACAAACTGTTTGCTATCCTATGGTCTAGGCATAGGCCATTTCTTATACCTGAGATTCTGACCCTCTATACCAGGCTAGCTCTCTGTTCATCTTTTTAAAGGCTTCAGAGGTCAGCAAGTGGCATGGTGGTTAAGGTAGTGGATTCCCACAAGGCTGATCATGGTTCAAGCCCCAGACATGACAGCTTGAAAATCATGCTGTGTATGCTGTGTACATGTGCATGCATGCCCAAAATCCTGAGAGGAGAAGGGATTGTGGTGTGGCTATCCCCACTTGGGGGGCCGATTTCTCACTTTCCCTTTGTGTCTTTCTCTGTCTTTTTCCAGCAAGTGGACATGCCCTGTGGTAAAAACTTGAAAAAAAAAAAGCTTTCAGAGACCTCGTCTGCCAAGGAAGTATAAACATTTTGTGACACCTTATCTATCTGTGTGTGTTCTGTGACACTCTTTTTGACTGGAAGGCATACTATCAGAAATGAATTGGAAAGAAGACAGTTTATTGTGGGCCCAGCTACTGTGGCACAGTGATAATGCTAGACCTGTGTGGTGCTGGAAGCCATTTAGCAACTGCAGTTCAGATCTCAGATAAACCTGAAAAACCCATCAGGTGGGCATGCAAGTGGGCATTAGCAACAATATCTGAGATCCTTAAGATCTGGAGGGCTGAGGAAAGGAGACTGCAGTATGATAAGGCCCTAAGGTGGGTAGTGCTTTCTCTGTATCCCTCTATGTGTGCACATGTGCTATCATTAAAAAAAAAAAGAAAAGAAAAAGGTTAAAGTTTTATTATTTAAATGGGTCCATAAAGGTTTACATAATATACTTAATAAAAGATGTTTTTAAATTAAGAGATCTTACCTTTCAGCTTCTGGCAGTTGGTTAATTTTTCTGGATATGATATTGAAAATTAAGTTTTCCTTGATAGTTTCATCTGGTTCATGATTTTCCATCTTGAGCATTAAAAAAAAAGAAAATGTAATTTTCCAATAACATATTTATATATCTGTAGAATAGCAAAAGGATTTTAAAAAGCTTTTTGAAGACTATAGATAGTTCTAAAAGAGCTGTAGGCTGGGCATGGTGGCAGGCACTTATGATCCCAGCTACTTAGAAGACTGAGGCAGGAGCATTGCAAGTTCCAGACCAGCCTGAGCAACAGAGGAAGACCCTGTCTCTGAAGAAACTTAAAAACAAAGCAAACTAGACTGAGTTCATAATCTAAAAATAATCACTACATGTATACTATTATCATCCCCCTCACTAAAAAAAATAAAAAATTTTTAAAAAATTAAAAAATCCCTAAGTGAACAAAAACCAGAAAATGAAAAGCAGCACATGCAATTTTTTAGGAGATATATTATCTTCATAACCCTTAAAAATACTTCTTAAACAATTTACAAATAGCACTCAGTATAAAAGACTTATAAAAGTGGGACCAGCAGGTGGTGTACTGGTCATGGCACTGAACTTCCATATGGCCAACCATTTTCGAGTCCTAGACCTGGAGGCTTGAAACTCACACTGGATGTGCATATGTGTGTGTCCAAAATCCTGAGAGGAGAAGGGATTGCAGTGTGGTCCTCCACCCAGGGAGTGATTTCTTGTTTTCTGTTGTCTCTGTTTCTCCAGCAAGTCCACATGCTCTATAGCAAAAATCTCTTAAAAACAAACAAAACAACCTTAACTATTGGGTTGTCAGAATAGTCATGACGTATTTTTCTATGCAAAAATGTCATGACTTTTCAGGTGACCCAATAATAATAAAATTAACATGTGTTCAATAGGTACTGCAACAATAAGCTAGTGAGGGAAAAAATGTTTGCGATACAACTGACAAAGCAGTTAGTACACTTATACACATAAATACAAATAAAGAAAAAGACAAGTAACCAAAAAGAAAAATTGACAAAAGATTTGAAAAGATACTTCACAAAAAGAGGAGAGTTGAACAGCTAAAAACATGAAAATATTCTTCATTGTAATCAGGAAAAAGTAAGATGACTTGCCCTGAGGTCTTATGTTTAAGGGAAGCTGGAGTACATGGCCAACCATGGTTCAAGTTTTCCCCTGGCAGCTTGATAAAAAGGGCATGTGTGCAAACATGAATGTGCCCCAAATCCTAACAGGACAGACAGATGGAGAAGGGACTGTGGTCTGACTATGCCCCATTGAGGAGTGCTCTGTCTCTGGTGAGTGCACACGTCTTCTAACTATTAAAAAAAAAAAAAAGCCACAGATACCATAAGTTAGCTAAAATTAAAATCTATCAATTACTGGAAAGAATAAGGGGCAATTAAAACACTCATGTACTGCTGGTGACAGTGTAACCTGTACCCAAAGTGGGTATAACCACTTTGGCATCTTTCAGTAGGTAGAAGAGAAATATACCTAGCAATTTCACTTCTAGGTATACCCTAGAGCAGGGATCAGCAAACATTCTGTAGAAGACCAGACAGTAATAAATGTTTTAGCATTGCAGATAGTCTTCATTGAGGTATTCTTTTAAAACAACTTTCTGAAAACACAAAACTCATATGAAAACAAGGCTGCAACTGCCCTGTGTGTAGTTGGTGAATGGTGAATGATTAGTTTTAGCCTGAAGATTTACCTCAAGACGATAGATTTCAGGATAACAGTTAAAAGTGAAAGTTCAGGAATAACAGCATGGAGCATCATGGATTTTAGATTTTTCTTGACTCATCAGTTTTCATTTAGAACAAGGTTAATAGCACTAATTGAACGTATCTATTAGGGAAATTTTAAAATATAAGGTCATTTAGAAAACATTGAGCACACTGAAATTCCCTATCTCTAGACTTAAAATTAATATATTAAATATTAACACAGCCTTAACTTAGGTCTAGATTTCCAAGATCTAAATTTTTGGGACCCACAGATATAATAGACAGTTTCTGCTATATAGGAGTTCTGACTTTGTGTATGAGGTGAAGAAATACGTGCGCACGTGCACATATGATATTTAACTACATCAATATGTACTCAAATTCAGTATATGATGTATATGTTGGACATAAATCATTTTTTCAAAATGTCTAGCCCAATGCTGTCACTACTTTTCTGTTCCAGGTTCTGAGTTCTATAAAATAGCTAATATTTCTATACACTGTGTCTAATAAGAGACATCCTTAATTATCAGTCAAAGTTATAACTGGGCAGCCTCCATAGGGCACTCTGTCCTCATTATTAGTAATGATGTGCTAGCAAACACAGTGCTATCTTTAAATACTATAAACTTTTCCATTCTTTTGTATTTAAACATCTCATGTCCCTCTTAGGAGAGCTAGATAAAGTGTAAAGTGGGGTGTGGGGGCTCTGACAATTAAATTTAACCAAGATCACCCTGTAAATTGGTAGTAAACCTGGTGTTAAATTCGGTCGCAGGAATTTTTTTTTCCGTAGGGCAATGAAGCGATTGTCAGCACCTCAGGGCCAACCCTCCTCCTCCCTGATAGAATTCCGGCCTGTGACCAGCGTGTCACTGCGCCGTGTGTCTCCTGATACAGGACATTTATTTCACCCCTTTTCATGGCATGCCAGTACCTTATGCTTTTCTTTTGGCAGCCGATACCTTGGCCAGGTCCTCCTCAGTCAGGCTGTGACTCACCGCAACCTTTCTTCCACTCGCCTGGGCGCCGCCATCTTTGGTTGGCACGTGACAGGCGCCGAATCGCAGCAGCCGATTGAGCTCCAAGTCGCATCCACGACCAGCTTCCTACTGAGCGGCTTCCGGCTGGGAGAGGCTGTATGTGTGAGCTGAGAGGTTTAGTTGACGTTAGAGCGCTCCCGATCCCTCAGAGCAGTTGCTGTAGAAATTATTAAAATTTGAAAAATAAATGGCATAACCCTAAACCTGTCTCTTCCACTGAAAACCTACCTTGGTTACACTACGTAACTTCCGGATAAACCAGTAGAGCATACCTCATCATTTTGGCATGGGGGATATGAAAACTGCACAGCTCTTGGCATACAATGGGTACTCAGATTAAAAAGATGTCAAAAAGGAGATGAGATTTCTTTTTTCCATTGATTTTCTACTCTCGAGTCTTTAGCTCTCTGTGCCGTATTATGATCTGGTGATTAGTCCACCGTACTATAAGTACCTCAATGGCAGGAGCTCATTTTCCTGAGGAGTCTTGGTGCTTTCCGAGTAAGGGAGGAGGGCCTCATTTTCTGTGTCTAGGGTTGAGTGAATGTGGCAAAAGGGTAATTGTTCAGAGAGCAAGAGAACTTACTGGCCCTATCAGTCAGGACAATTGAAAACCAAAATGTGGGCCAAGCCTCCCAAGACTTTTGTCTCAGTTCTCATTCTGACAGCCTCTCTCCTTATCTATAAATAGGTGGGTAAAGAACACTCTCATCGGTTGTTTTGTAAAGCAATGGAAATGCTTATAAATATTGCTTTCAAAATAATTTCTCAAAGGAGAAAATGGTATTCAAGATAAAGGGGAAGCCTTTACAGCCAAGGTGAGCTGACGAGCCCTTAAAACTCAGCTGAGAGGGATTTAGCTGATATCAAATTGTTTCTAATCAATGAACCAGAGAAGAATCAAAACAGTTTTAAAAATCCCTAGTTGTAGTCAGACTATTTCTCAGAATGTTTCTGAGGTAATTCTGAGAAAGTCTGGGGAAGACCACCTTGCCAAGATGCTACCTGTAACATTGTGTGTGTGTGTGTATGTGTATATGACTGTTTTCTTTCCTAATACTTTGTTTCAAACTCTTGTTTTGTCTTATTTGACAAGCACCCATGCTTGCTGGAGACAGAGAGGAGAAAGCATCACCCAATGGGGTATGACTATGCCACAATCTTTTCCATTTCTTCATCCTATAGAGATTTGGGGCATTCATATACATGTGCCCAGTGTTTTTTTTTTTTGAGAGATTTTCACTATAGGGCGCGTGTGCTCGCCAGACAGACAGAGAGAGACATTAGAGACAGAAAGCGAGAAATCACCCCCCAGGGGGGATGGTCATGCCGCAATCCCTTCTCCTCCATTCTCCTCTCGGGATCTTGGGCACGCACGCACATGCGCCCGGCGTGAGTTTTAAGCCACCGGGTCCGGGACATGAACCGCGGTCGACTACGTGGGAGTCCAGCGACATAGCCATTACGCTAACTGCTGGTTCCCTCCAGTGTATTTTTTAAGCAAGTCAGTATTCTAACCATTGTCATCTATGTGGGATTCGACCTCTTAGCCACTAGTCTACAGGGCTGGTCCTCTGTTCCATACTCTGATTCCAATTTCATTTTTAATGGTTTGAAGACAATTTTGAAATGAATAAATGCTCATGCTGGATAGTATCTATAACAGCATGTAATTTTGGATTAAAAAAGCAACTTAGGGGACCCATAGGTGGTGTAATGGTTATGTCACTGGACTCCCACATGGCAACTACAGCTCGAGCCCTGGACCCAGTGGCTTGAAACTCATGCTGTGCATGTGTGCATGTGTGCCCAAAATCTTGAAAGGAGAATGGAGAAGGGATTGCAGTGTGCCCATCTCCGGAGGGTGGCGGGTAATTTCTTGCTTTCTGTTATTACACCACCTGCTGACCCTGAATATCTCTTTGTAACTTTTGACATTTTGATTATGATGTTTATTGGTGTAGGTCTCTTTATCTTTATCCAAATTGAATTTCTTTGAGTTTCTTGATTTAGGAAGTTGTTACCATTATTTCTTTATGTAAGGTCATCCCCTTTCTCTCTTTCATCTCTTTATGACACTTTCACAATGTGTATGTTCTGTTGATGATGTGCCAAAAGTTCCTTAAACTCTTTACTTTTCTTCCTTCCTTCCCTCCCCTTATCTGCCTCAGTAGTTTTGATTAGTCTTGTCTTTAAGTTTGCTGATTTATTCTTCTATTTGGTCAAATCTGCTTTGGAGTCCTTCTAGTGAATTTTATTCAGTTATCACATATTGTTCAGTTCCAGAATTTCTCTTTGGTTCCTTTTATTTTTTAAGAATTATTTAAATTTATTTATTATTTTAAAATTTGCTGTAGGGCATGTGTGTTCTCTAGAGACAGAAAGAGAGAGAGAGGGAAAGTGAGAAAGCAAGCTGCCAGATCTGGAACTCTAACTGTGGTTGGCCATGTGGGAATCCAGTGCATCAACCACCATACCACCTGCTGGCCCCTGTTTGGTTCTTTTTTGTAGTTTCTATCTCTTTGTTGCTATTTTCATATTGTTCATGCTTCATTGTCCTGATTTTGTTTGTCTATATGTGATCTCTTAATTCATTAAGCATCCTTATGACAGTAATTAATTTTTTTTTAGGTTAGGTTTCTGGAGATTTAATTAGTTCATTTAAATATGTCATGCTTCCTTATTTCTTTGTATGTCTTATTTTTTGTTTGGGTTTTGGTATTTGAAGAATAAGTTACCTCTTCTAGACTTTGCAATCTGGTTTTGTATAGGGAGAGCCTTCATTGAGTCCATGTAGAAATTCTGGAGACCTCTCAATTCTCTTCTGGGGCGGTGTCCTCTCTGGGTTTGAAGAAGTTTGTGGGTTTCTATTTAATAGCTCACTGGAGCACTATGTGGTCTTTCTGGTGCTGGACTTGATCTCCACCTAGTGTCTATCTGTGGGATTGCAGACTCTGGTACGTGTTCATTGTTCTCAGAAACTCCAGTTTGGCACCCTATTTCCCTCAGTGGATGGGTTGAGGCAAGACAGGAACCAGCCCTTTGGTTTAACTTCACTAATGGCCAGAACATTGGGCTTATATTCTACTTCTTTCCCTTCCCAGGTAGCAGATGCGAGTTGACAGTTTGCTCCTAATAATGCAACTCCATGCATGGAGGAGTTGGTGATGGGTAGAAAGGTTTCTGGCAAAAGAACGCCACACATGTTCTTATCCTGCTTTAAGCCCATCTGAGTGCACTGGTTTCTGGGTCTTTCACGGAGGCATTTTGTCTGTGCACTGTTGTTAAATCTTTGTCTTAGTTTTATATGATATTTTTGCTGGGTACATAATCCTTTTTTTTTGGGGGGGGGAGAGGTTTTCGCTATAGGGCGCATGTGCTCACTAGAGAGAGAGAGAGATAGAGACAGAAAGCGAGAAATCACCCCCCAGGGGGGATGGTCACACCACAATCCCTTCTCCTCCATTCTCCTCTCGGGATCTTGGGCACGCACGCACACACGCCCGGCATGAGTTTTAAGCCACCGGGTCCAGGATGCGAACTGCGGTCGACTATGTGGGCGTCCCGGCACATAGCCATTACGCTAACTGCTGGTCCCCCCCCCCCATAATCCTTTTTTAGAGAGAGATTTTTGCTATAGGTCACATGCACTCACCAGAGACACAGAGAGACCAAAAGGGAGAAATCACCACCAGGGGGTATGGCCACATCGCAATCCCTTCTCCTCCATTCTCCTCTTGGGATTTTGGGCACACTCGCACACACACCTGGCATGAGTTTCAAGTCCCCAGATCCAGAACTCAAATGGTGGTCGACTACCTAGGAGTCTAGCAATGTAACTATTACATCATCTGCTGGTCTCCCTAGGTTGACTTTTTAAAAGTCAGTACTTATGAAATATTGTTACTTTTTTCTTACTTGCATTGTTACAGAGAAATGACTACAGTCATTTGTATCATTCTTTTATGTAAAATGTGTTTCTCTGACTCCTATTACGATTTTATCTTTATCATTAGTTTTAAGCAATTTGATTATGATGTGGCTTCGAGGTAGTTTTTCTGTTTCCTTTGCTTAAAATTCACTGAGCTTCTTGAACCTGTGGTTTTATAGTTTAAAATTAAGAAAAATTTTAGCCACCAGTAACTCAAATATATTTTTCTACCTCTCCTCTCCCTGAGATTTCAATTTCAGATACATAAGGTCACTTGTTAATGCTAACTTTTTAAAGCTTTATTTTGAAGTATCGATTACTGTGTCTTTAGGTTCACTAATCTTTTCTTTTGGCTTGTTACTGGGGTGTTCTTTGTTGTAGTGAAGTAGGTGGGGTTCAGGGCTACAAAGTTTCAATTATTTAATTTGTTAATGTTGATGTGACTGTCTTCATAGGAACTGGATGTTGGGGCCCAGCAGATGATGGTTATGTTGCTGGACTCTTACATGGCTGACTGCGGTTTGAGTTCCAGACCCAGAGGCTTGAAACTCATGCCAGGTATGTGTGTGTGCATGCCCCAAAATCCTGAGTATGGAGGAGAAGGGATTGTGGAGTGGCATTCCCCCCTGGGGGGTGATTTCTCACTTCGTCTCTCTGGCAAGCACACATACCCTATAGCAAAACTCTCTCTAAAAAAAAGAAAAAAAAAAAAAAAGGAATTGGATGATGATGCTAAGGAGATGTTGATAGTGTTATCTTTGAAATAATCTTTTTTTTTTTTTCCTTCTTAATGAAGCTCAGGAAGGTGAATGGACAATCTTATGAAATTCTACCACATCTGAGAATACCATTTCTTAATTATTAAACTATTGCTTAAACTTAGAAATTCAAACACTGATAGTTTATATAAGATAATGCAATTGTACAAGAGCAAGGAGAAAATCAATACAATATAATACAGTGAAAATGTTACAATGCAATACAACAAAAGTGGGATGGACAGGAATCATATAATGAAGGGAACTGGGGGGAAGTGGAGGAAAAAAGGCAAGTGTAAAAGTAGGTTCTCCTAATAGGAACCATATTTCAATCACCTATTATATTATACAGCTATTAAGGAAAACAACAAACACATTTGTTGAGCAACTCGCTCATGTCAAGTATGGTATAATTTTATGTACTTCAGTCTTTATAACCACACTAGAAACCAGACTTTAATATGTTTTAAGAAGAAAGGTTAGGTAACTTTGCCCAGTATGTGGTATGTAATACCCTTCACAGGACAGATGTTGAATCAATATTAGCTGAATAAATGAATACTTACCCAAATGAAAGATATTTTGTTAAGTCTCTTTGCAGTGCCTCTCTCTAATCTTTCCTGTGTTAAACTGGTAACTATAGGTTTAAGAAAAGGACCATGAGATCTGGTTTGCAGTAACAGCAATAATAATGGCAGATAATACAGTGTAAGTGTTTGCGTATCCCCATTCCTGAGTTGAAATCCTAACCCCCAAAATGATTGTATTAGGGAGTGGAGTCTTTGGGAGATGATCAGGTCATAAGGGTAGAAGTATCATGATTAGGATTAGTGCCCTTGGAAGATATCCCTTATAAGCCACCCAGTCTTTGCTATTTGTTATAGCAGCCTGCATGGACAAAGGCAGAAGCTAATACATACATACTTTCAACAAGTTGCACCCTGCTTTGATGGACATATATTAACTCATTTAATCCTTACAGCACTATGAAGATGAGTACAATTTTTTATTCCTCATTTTACACATGAGAAAACTGAGGTACAGACAGATGAGACAGCTTGTTCAGAGGTGTCCTGTCAGCAAGTTGGGAAGTCAGGATTGAATGCTGAGTGGTGGTCCAACCTGTACTGTGCACTTTTGTATTGTCTTATCTCTGGGACCTTAGAATCTTCATTGTCATTCACCTAGTTTTTCCTTTGGATTCAGGCCCAGGCTATGGTTTCCCTAATTTCTCTTCTCAGGCCTCCTGTTGCCACTTAGGCAAGTACTGCTTTCTGAAGGTGAAGGAAAGTTTCAATTGCCTTGCCAGCTATTTTACTGCAAAAGACAATTCGAAGCCATTGGATAAGGTACAAATCTATTCAGTTTTCAGGTCAACCACGTTGTATTTTGCAGATCATCAAGTCACTGATTTTAAAACAATGTAGTTAGAATAAGAATAGGATTCATTTGGTTCTTTCTGCAAACAGTGTTTGTTTCCTGAGCTAAGATAAATGTGTAGTTCAAGAATGTCTCAGCAAACTCTAAAGCAACATGCTGTGAATGCTCTTTAGATTTTAAACTTGAGGGCTGGAACTGAATCTTTGTACTCCTAGTACTTATCTTAATGATACCAAACAGGCCACAACAACTGTTCTTTAAACTACTCAGTAAAGAGTTTATTATTATTAAATTATTATTATTAAATATTAAGAAGTTAATATTTATTAAGAGTGTATAGGAATGAGCTGTTATTTCCATACCTTGCTTTATCATCAATTTCCAATTCCTCCTTCAAAATTTAGCTCAAATGTTTTTTTTTCTCATAGCTTCCCTTCTGCCCAAGTAGTTAACAATCACACCCTCAGTGCTGCCAAAGAAAAGTATATAGTTCTCAAACCCTCTTATACTGTGTGTTCACATTTCTTATTCCTCTTCTAAGTTTGAGTTTGTTCTGCATAAGGATTGTTTATTATTACATGTAACACAAAGTCTGAGATATAGCAAGGTGCTCAACAAATGTTTGATGTATAAATGAATATATAATTGTACAGATTAGACCTTGAGCCCCTAAACCCATTTCCATATGCAACAAAACACA